GGGATGTTGCTCCCCGCCGCCGTTTGACGTCCTGGTCACTGGCTCGGCCGCGGGCACGACGGCACGTGCCGAAGACTCGGTCGCACCGGCAGCGGGGGACGTCGAGGGCACATGAGACGAGGCACGGGCGGTAGGGGCAGAGCGGCGGGCGCGAGGGCGAAACGGGGTGGTCATAGGGTCAGGGAAAACATGGTTACGGTCATGGCGAGCGCTGCCATGTTTCGTGTGTTTTGCAGAACGATGAGTTTGGGAAGGCGAGGTGGTGGTGTTGCTTGGAGGTGACTCGGCACTCGGGCGTTTAGCACCGCGGACCTGGGTCCAAGAATCCTCGCCGCCGGACTCAGTGGCCATGTCCGCGGGGCAAGCAAGCGAGCAAGCGAGCGGACACGGTGGGAGCGAGGGCGCCGCCAAAACGCGGGCCGCAAGGAGCGGGGTTGCAGATTTTGTCTGACAACGTGGTTCACGCCAAGATAGCAGACAACAATAAAACAGATGCCACAACAAGATGGTACAACCAGATGTTACACAACAAGGTGGGACAACATCAAGTACCAGAGGACACACAACGTGGTAAAGTATACCGTCTCAGATTGTGCCTCTAATAGCTCGAGCAGAGCGCGGTTGACAACCTTGTTGAAGATGGAATCCGTGCCCACGGGTCGAAACTTGCCATTGGCCTTCTCCAGGATAGTGTAGTTGATGGAGCAAAGGGCATGTCGAATCGACTCGGGCACGGTGTTGTTGGCAATGTGGTGAAAGATCTTGTTCAAGGCAACCTGAGGACCTCCAGTGGCGGTGGTGGGGCCCTGAGGCGCGTCTCCATCAGAAGGAGCAGTCGGGTCGCTGGTGGAACCCTGGCGTGGGCCCAAGACTTGACTGAAGTGCTCCTTGATGCGGTAGATGGAGGCAAGAAGCTCACCAGACCAACCATAGGGGTCGGTGACACCCTTGGTGGCCGCCAACGCCTTGGGGAGCTCACCCTTGGTGAAGGACACGGTTGGGGAGCTCACAGCCGTGGCTGGTGCCAGTGTAGATGTGGAGGCGGGTGTCGAAGCAATGTACGGGGTCAGCCCGGGCGGCACCAAGAGGTCGCGCACGGCCTGAACCTCAGAATTACCAATCACGGCACGAGCCTTGTCGGCATCAAATGCTTTGGCAATCTGACCTCGGTTCAGACGGTTCGTGACGTGGTTTGCCCAGGCTTCGTCCGCCAGGTCCGGGTCGCGGACGAGTGACCTGAGGCTCTGGTCGACTGCGTCGTTCGGGTGGGCGCCCGCGCCGGCGTTCAGCTGTCCTCGACGGCTCTGCTTGCGTGCGACTGCCTTGCGCATGGCGTCCACGACCCGACCTAGTTGCCCCGTCACAAGCCAACGGAGACGATCGTGAAACATATTGCGCAGGTCAATCGTAGACAGTGCGGTCGAGGGGGCAGACAACAACATGCTAATAATAAATTAGGTGTTTGAACCTCAGAGCTGAACCTCAGAGCCGAAAGCAAAGCTGTGCAACCCCGACATCAAAATCACGACGGCACGCAAAATAACACAAGAGAACAAGACATTTTCATCGGCTCCTATCATGCCGAGGAGTACAAGCGCGAAGAATCACGCACAAGGAAACAAAAATCGTACAAAACGACCAGGTATAACCAGAGATACGGCCATTTAAAACACAAGACACCCAAAAAGGGAGTCACACATATCACAACTACTAGCCATCACAGCACGAACATAAAGAACACCACGGCACGCTCACATCCAACGAGACACAACGTCGGATTGAGGAAAACAACCGGCGAAGAAAAAGACATCATACAAAGGACCTTACAAAAATTTAGCAAAATTACCACAAAATACAGCAAGAATTAAAGCAAAATTAAAACAAAAAAACAAGTCAAGCCATGAAAAGATCACAACGAGGAACCACCTAGGGAGCGACAGGTGCACACAGGGATCCCCACAGAGGGACCCCCGAGACGGTGCCTACCTACGACGAGCGCAGGCAGACACCGCCAAAGTGGCGCTGGATGTGGTCAGCGTTCATCTGATGGACCAGCGCCGCAAAGCGACCCTTCCACCGAGGAACAAAGGCCTCATCCAGCCCCGGCTGGTACACACCACGGGCCTCGGCGCAGCGGGCGAGCTGACCAAGCAGATCCACAAAGGAGGAGGCGAACCCACCGGTTGTCGTCATCGCCGCAGGGACGATCAGAGTTTTTCCATGGTTGAAACCGGTGTAGTACTCGCGCTTCTCCTTTTCGGCTCGGCGAAGGGCAGCGCCCACCTTGATGCAGGCTTGCGAGGTGGTCGGGGGTTGGGCTGTGCGCACAGTTACGTCAATGCCCAGGTCGGGCAGAGCTGGGCCCAAGGCACCGCCGGGAAAGGGGTTGCGGCAGTGCAGGTCGATGCGGCAGCTCTGACCGTTGGCGTTGTAGCCAGACTTTTCCACCCAGACATGGGAGAGGGTGGCGTACCTGAGCAGGCGGCCCATCTCGTCGCGGAGGGCGTTGTGACGCTTGATGGGACGGCAGGTCAGCAGGTGCTCGCGGGTCAGTCGCGGCTGAGGTGTCTTGCTGCTGCAGAGCGGGCACTTGTCCGTCGGCTTGATGTTGATGAGTTCATGGAGGCCAAAACCCATCATGGACACGACCGCAATGGCAAAGGTCGTGTCGCTCAAGCGACGCAACTTGTCCCGACCCCGCATGGTCAAGACAGTGCTAACGCCCCACTCGCGTGAGGCCAGATATGCCTGCTGCAGGTCCAGCGCGCACTTGGCCATCAGGTCGTCCAGTGCCGCCTTGGAGCGGAGGGCAATGATCTGGGTCGCCGCGTCCTTGACCGTGGCCATCTGGAAGCCGGCTCGCTGCACGTGGGCCTCAAAGTCAGCAGCCCTCGATTCATCCTCCAAAAGTCGATCGTAGACCCGAGGGTAGCGAGTGGCCAGCTTGGCCATGTTGCAGACATAAGCCACCGGACCGCGCTCAACCAAGTCGTGCAGGCCAAAGCCCCCGGTGTTGGCCCGTGTGAAGAGGCGAGCCTCAAGGAGCTGTTCCAGCGTAACGTCATGACCTTCAGCACCAGCCGGTGCAGACAGGTTTACCTTGGCAAAAAAGGCTTTGACAAAGGTGTCCTTGCAAGCACGGTTCAAGAGCTCGGACAAGCCCGACGTGAGACCTGGGGGCAGCGTGTAGAGGTGGTTGATGAGGCTAGGCACGTACTGCATGGCCGTGAGGAGGGCCTGAAGCGAGACACCGGTCGTCAGCATGTCATTTTGCTCCAGCACGTCTGGAGGCCGTTTTTGGGTTGCGAGGAAGCGCGTAGGTTTGAGGAAGCGTTTTGAGAGAGGTTTGAGAGACGTCCGTCGGAACGGAGCGAAAGCTTTGGTGGTGTCTTGAGGTCATTGAGCTTGCCAGTAATGTGCTTTGCCTTGTCGTTCAGCTGCTTCTTCATCCACTCGCGACGGCCAATCGGCGTTCCCAAGACCGTCATGCCCGTGTTGGCCGTCTCGCGCACGGCATCTGGCAAGACAGACTTGATAGCAGCGATGGAAGCCGAATGATGGTGAGGCATGTAGAAGCGGCTCTTACTGGGCTGCAGATGGAGGCCAGCAGACTCTGCACGAGCCTTGACAATCTCGACGTCGGCCGCCACGTCCTCCGCGGGACCCATCAGTACAATGTCGTCGAGGTATTTGATGATCTTGCAGCGGTAGTCAGTGGTGGCGTCGAGGAGACCCAGGACCTCACAGGAGTACAGGGCAAAGAAGAAGGGCGATAGCTCGTTGCCCTGCACAATGCCTTGACCAACATCAATGTCAACAACATGCTATGCAAGGCCAAAATCAAAGCCCAGCACATCTCTCGCTCTTCAGCGGTATAGTCCGAGTGGACGGCAGACCAATACAGCTGGCTCAAGGTGGCAGCCATCAGCTTGGTCTCGGTGGCACTGGATGGGTAGCGGCTGCGCTGCATCAGTGGATGCCGGGCGAGCTTGAGCAGCTCGCAGACACCGATTTCGGTCCTCCAAGCACGCTTGCAGGAGCAGCACGAGAGCATTGCATCGCTACAGGCCATGTTTATTCAAAATCTTACTCGCGAAGCAGTACGACACAGCCAGCGACGCGTTCCGGTTCGTGGGCGACAAGGCCGCTTGGGCGAGGGCGACTCTCGCTCAATTGCTCCAGCGTCACTCCAACATTTCTTGTCGGCGCAACAAAGAGCCCACGCGAGCAAAAGGAATGAATGCGCCCTAAGATTTGATGCAGGCTCTGAATATTGATACATTTACCCTCGTGAGCCTTCAAGATTCCTGTCGTCACCTAGGCCTTCGTGTGTTTTTTTTTTATTTTATTTTTTTTTTTTTTTGAAATAAGCTCAGGCTGATCAAGCGTTTGAGACAAGCAACAGGTCTTTCTCGGTCAGAAGAAGTTCGAAACGGCTCGAAAACCCAACCCAATATTCACAGATGAGGTCGAGACCAGACTGCAACGCCTCGGCGTTTTGGCGACGAGGTCGACGTTGACATGACTGCTGCCACGCCAGACACAAGCCCGGAAATATCTCGGGTGACCGCCAACCACCTAGCCTCGAGTGAAGCCATCGCTGCTGTGCTCTCACACATTCACACCTGCACTTGGATCCCACGATTCCTGGCACATGCCTGGAGCGATAAGCTTGTCACGACTGTTGTTTCTCTTTGTTATTATTATCTCTTTGTTGTGATACCTGCGGTTGGGCACGGGTTGCACTTTCCCTATCCTTGGGATTGAGCGGCTCTACAGCTATTCTAACGGTGCACCTGGTCTGGTCACTGTGAATGCTTGCCGACCGCAGCTGGTTCAATTGACCTCAAGACACCACCAAAGCTTTCGCTCCGTCCCGACGGACGTCTCTCAAACCTCTCTCAAAACGCTTCCTCAAACCTACGCGCTTCCTCGCAACCCAAAGACGGCCTCCAGACGTGCTGGAGCCTGACATGGTAGCGATTGAAAACTTCGATCGACCGACCGCCCTTCTTCAATCTTCGCGCTGGACAGCATCTCCTCGCGCACCCGTTCGCGAACTGGGCTCCTTGGCCAAGGAACCCTAGAGCTCGACGTAGAACCTGTCCACCACCCACCGACCACCGACGTTCCGGAACCCGTTCACGAGTCACCAGCACCGATGGCTCCGCTTGCCGCGCACGTGATCCCGGGGCTCTTAGCGAATCTCCAGAAGAAGTCGCAACGCCTACAGACGTTTGGCTTTGATCCTTACTTCTCGGCCTACATTGCTGTGACCATGCACATGAACCATCAGCTCAAGGCGAACCTAGCAGCAACCTGGTCTTCCCATTGGGACCATGTCATGGTACCCTTCCTCGAAGGTGCCCTACACCGCAACCTTGCAAGTTCGGACACAACCCCAGCATCCTTGGAAGACGCTCGAGCGCACCTGCACAAACAGTTTGGTTTTCACTTGGGCGTCGCCGCCCTGGCCCGAATGTTGGACGCTTCGACGAGCATTTTTACTGGACTCGAGACAAGTTGCGTCGCTTGAGCGATAATAATAAATTAGGTGTTTGAACCTCAGAGCTGAGAGCAAAGCTGGACTCGCTGAGTTCGATGAGTGGGTGCAGGCGGTTGATTGCATGTTTCAACACGAACCGCTTGAATACACCATGCTGACCAAGCTTCAGATGCTGTGCAAGCTCCAGCGCCAGTGCACTTGCAGCCGACTGGTGGAGCGTCTCGCCACTGCGGCACACCAGGCGACATCTGGTCCAGCGACCACGTTGACTAGAATCGTGAAAGAAGCTCTCGATGGTTACGTCCCGACTCGTGATACTCTTTTCAGCGTGCCAAGCAACCGGACGGCGCACAAGGGGCCGACGATCCACTCGACCTCCGGACCCAAGGCAGCTCACAAGCAGGCCGCCAGCTCTCCCAGCCGTCCACCGCTCCGCATTCTAGCTCAGCTCCGCAATTCCGAAGAGTTCACCAAGCTCAACAAAAGCGACAAGCAAGCTCGCCACACCTTTGCTCGAAAGCATCATCTCTGCTACCACTGCTTCGCCGATGACCACCAGAGCAAAGCGTGCCCAAAAAACTAGGGCCCGGGGTCGGGGAACCTGCATCTTCTACTTCCCCGGACCCCAACCCAGAGGGCGTGCCATCGCAGGCAGCACGTACCTCAGCCACAGATTCACTCCCACCTCGTGAGGAGCCTCGACCTGTGGTTATCAATTCGGTTTCTGTTTTATCACCGCGCCAGGACCCTGGCCCCTTGATGTCCGTGGGTGCTATTGGGTCGACGGCGGTGACGTTCCTCTTTGACACTGGCTGTGACCGCTCTTTGCTATCGGCACAGCTGGCATCCTCCTTATCCCTTCCAACGCGCAACGGACCACCTTTTGATGTTATCTTCGGCAACGGCACACGTATACCTGTCGAGACTTACACCGAGGTGTCCTTACAGCTTGGTCCCCTGACTGTTACCCGTTCCTTTCCGGTGGTCGCTCTCTTCGACGCTGCCGACGTTCTTCTGGGCCGTGATTTCCTCAGTGAGCACGACATTGTTATTTCTGCTCGCCAACGGACCGCGACCTTTCCAGGCGCTGTACAGCTGCCTTTTATCGAGCCGCCAACACCTATTGGTCTCCGCTCACTCCTTCGGCAGAAGTCTGCTGCCGCCTATCTCGTCTGGGTCTCCACGACGCCGGACAACTCTGTGCGCTGTTTCTCAGCCACCCTAGGACAGTCTTCGTCCACCCCCAACGACCGCGATGCTCTGATCGACGACATTCGAAACGAGTACTCTGACCTCTTCGACGACGGACCGACTCAGGCGCCGGCGCCGGCTATGCGAGGCGTAGAATCTGCTGAACACAAAATTATCTTGACGGACAATGCGCAGCCCGTCAAGCAGCGAGACTACCGCCGAGGCGAAGCCGAATTGGCCGCACTGAAGCAGCTCCTGGCCGATATGGTTCGAGACAAGGTCATCCAGCCTTCGACCAGCCCTTGGTCATCCTGTGCTCCTCGTAAAAAAAGTCCAACGGCTCCTGGCGATTTTGTGTCGACTACCGTGCCCTCAACAAGGTTACCGTCAAAGACGCATATCCACTGCCACGGATTGAGGACTGCTTAAGCCGTCTCCGCGACGCAACCTGTTTTACTTCGCTGGACCTCCGTTCCGGCTACCACCAGATACCCATGGCCGCCGACAGCGTGCCCATGACTGCTTTCACGACGCGCTATGGCTCCTACGAGTTTCGCGTTATGCCGTTTGGCCTGTGCAATGCTCCTGCGACGTTCCAGCGGACCATGAATCAGCTCCTCGGCGACTTTCTTGACGACTTTGTCATTGTCTACCTCGACGACATCTTGATCTACAGTCCAACGTGGGCTGACCATGAACGCCACGTTCGGCGTGTCCTTGACCGACTTCGCGATGCGCAGTTCAAGTGCAACATCGCCAAGTGCTCCTTCTTCCAGG